CTTTGGGACGATTCTGAGGATGGTGCGGGCCGGGCAGTTCTGTTGTGTGTACGGTCACTCCTGGTTGGAACTGACTCGATGGCACCTAACAACAACCGGCTGTGGCTCAGTGGAGCCTTAAGGAAGGTCAGGGTCAGCAGAGGCTGAGGCCCGGTAGCAGGGCTCTGGCCCGAAGCTGGAGGAAGAAGCAATGTGAGGTTAGTGGCCTGTGCGGCGGAATCACAATCACGTCAAACCAAAATCCGACTCACTGCCATGGAGTCGGTGTGGGTTTACTGGAGCAAAAAGCCCCGTCTTTCTCTGGCGGAGATTCTGGTGGCTCCCAACTGCTGACCACGTGGATCGCAGCCCAAGGTTTAACCAGGACACCGCCAGGGCTCTGCCACAATCGTGTCCGATGAGGGAAAAAAAAAATGATGGATGGGTGTCTGGGTGCTGACCCCTCATCCTAGAGCTGGGTTTCCAAGTGGGCTTGTTAGCCCTGTGACAGCGGCGCGAGGGCTCTGTTTTCTCAGAGGAGGCTGCTAGAATGGAGGGGGCGGGGTGACATCCTGGGAGGAGCCAGTTCCCAAACGCCAGCCATTGAAAGCCCCATGGCGCTCCATCCTACTGACACACCCAGGATTGACTTCATGGCAGAGGAAGGGCTGCATCTGTGGGCTGTCCTTGTCCCCGGGTCCCTTCACCCTGTGAGGGACTGCTTCTCCCCTGGAAATGCTCACATAGATTATGTTGCAAGACTCACTTTTATGTCCACAAGCCTGTCTGCGACATAGTATGACTGCAGTCGATCCACTTCAGAAGGCACTGCTGTACAAACCCTCAGTCAACAGCCAGCCTGCCTTTTCCCCACTCGGGAGCCTGCCACCCGTCCAGGGGCACAGCACACGGCACAGGGAGGGTGCAGGCCTGAGTGTCCACAAATCACCTCCCGGGAAGTGGGAGGGTAGGAGGGGCAAGGGCTAGGGGAGGGAGCTTCCAGTTCTGACAGCAACTGCCTGAGGACTGCTTGAATCTTTTATGCCAAGAACACATTCGCATTCTTGCTCTGTAATGAAAAATCCAACTTACAGTCAAGAAGGAGAATGTGCCAAGGCTGATCACACAAGAGGCTTTGTGAGAACAGGGCTGGGCACAGAGCTGGTTTCTATGAGGTGGGCGTCACGCAGACTTCCACTCTGCTTCTGACACCAGCCGTCCCTCCCACGGCACACGCTCTGCCGAGTTTGATCAGGCGCTGCAGTGGCTACACAGAACACACAGGCTGTGCGCAGGGTTCTGGCGTCGGTTAGGGAAGTAACAGGAGGTTGTTCACAAGGCGGTGTGTCAATCAGGGCAGCTTTCAACCTGGCTGGCTCCAAGCCCCTCCTCAGCTGTGCCT